GTATCAGTGGACTTTGAAGTACACTTGGAACACTTCAGTGTAAACCACCATATGTGAAACATCAGCTTGACATTTTGGGCCTGCTCTGACATTCTTTACAGGTGCCACTGTTGCTTAATCTAAAGTTTGTGTGCCCTGGAAGAATTTGCCTTAAGCTCTTTGTCCTTACTTCACAGGTTCTCCTCAGAATCTTAGTTTTAATTTGTTTAAAAATTGCATTTACAAGTAGAACTTGTAGAACAAGTAGCATGTAACATGCTTTGTCACTTGACCTTGAGTCAAAGAGAAACCTTCTGAATTTATTTTTTCCTAAGGAATTTATGTAGAATGACCGATGTATCATGCTTTGTCACTTGACCTTAAGGCAAAGAGAAACCTTCTGAATTTATTGTTTCCTAAGGAATTTATGTAGAATGACCTTAATGTTTCAATTTGTGGTTGCATTTCAGATCTGCTTACCTTCTCTACTATTATGATATTTACTTGAAAGTACAGCAAGAGCTCCCTCACCTCCCTCAATCTGAAATCAACAAAAAGATCAGTGAGAGTTGGAGATTGCTCAGTGTGGCTGAAAAAAGCTACTACTTGGAGAAAGCCAAGCTAGAGAAAGAGGGATTGGACCCGGTAAGTCATCTTCCTGGCAGCTGAGGAGAGAGGCACTTAACTGCTCACACAGTGTGTGGGAGAGTCATGTAACTGCAGATTCCAATTTGTGTTCCTGCTGGGGACAGCCTGTAAAGAAGCTGTGTGAGACCACTGCCTCTTGCTTTCTGGTCAGTTGAGGGAAAATGTTTTGAAATTCAAGATGGATATGTATAGTACCTGCTCATGGTAGTTATTTGTGTGTTATGTCTTCAGAGTAAGTGATGGTGAAGTGGATGATAAAACCAGGGCTGAGAGGGGTTCTGCAGGCTCTGTCATGTGGAGAAATGCCCAGCAAACTACTTCAGGAAACCATTTGAACTTTAGGCATTGAAATAGCAGGATTGAGGACTGAATCTCTTCCTTTTCTTACATTCGTTTATTTCATCCTCTGGTTTTGCCAACAGAACTCCAAGGTGTCCAGTCGAACTGCAGTAGTTCCAGACATTCCAGGCTTCCGTAAGATTCTCCCTCGCTCCGATTATATAATTATTCCCAAAGCCACTCTTCAGGAAGACAGGAGCAGGCAACCACTGGAACTGTGTGTGACACAGAGCCCAGCAGCACCCGAGGGGTTACCAGCTCCCACGAGCATCACCAGTGTGTCCCGTGAGGCTGTGCAGAACATCCTGTCTGTGGAACCGAGCCAGAGCCAGGCTGGAGTCTCGGAGCAGTGCATTGCCATCGAGGGGCTGGCAGAGGACACTGCAGCCTTTGGACAGCCCGAGGCTGCAGAAGAAGCTGTTGCCTCGGAGGTTCTCTCTCACTATGTTGGGCCTGTGACAGAGAAAGTGGCTGGAGATATCCTCTTGGATGAGGCTTCGTTGGAAATAGAAGGACAACCATACCAGACAGCCCGGGTGGTTATTGAGGAGACTCTGGTTAGCAGCTCCACAGACATCTCCAATGGGAGCATTGCTGTGGCCCGTCCCCAGGTGCCTGATGGTGTGTCTGTGGTGACTGTGGTGACTGGGAGGGTAAGTTTTTTCTAGTGACAGTTGGACTCCTGACAGTCTCACCTGAAATGTCCATTTTACTCGAGATCTCAGTGGGTGCAGGAGATCCTGTATTTGGGTGAGCTGACGGAGGCAACAATTTTTATAATCAGGGATTACATTGTAATTGGTGACACAAAAGTAACTTGGTGACTACATTGTCTCTGCTGGCAGATTGCCCTGGCCATGTGCTGGCATCACTTTTGTGCTTGAGTTTTTTGTTTCTTGTAACAATACTTGGGGTGGGTTCCACAGTTGGACTACTACAAGAGTTTGAGGAGAAAAAAGTGTTATTTCTGTGCTCCTGATAGTTGTTTGCTCACTTGCAGAGGGGTAGAAAGGAGTCCTTTTAAGCTGAGGTGTTAGGGATCACTTATAGAAAACCTTATTCTGTGAAGAGTCAGATTTGCTGTTTGGATTTTTTTGAGTTTGGTAATTTTCAGAGTAGACCTGGTAAGTTAAGGCTGTTGCTTTTGAAATGGTCACTGCTCTTTACTGGTCTCTGGTCTCATCTGTCCTTAAGACATATATTCAGTGGTGATGTTGATGGGATACAGGTCACCATGTCTTGTTTTCTGCATGTATTTTCCCTTTGACTCCATTTTAGGATACTGAAGAAAGTAGCTCCTCCACACCTGCGACACAGTTTATCATGTTACCTCTGCCAGCTCATTCTGTGGTGGAGAACCCATCGTCGATTAAATTGGTAAGAAATTCTAGAATCTTTTTTGGTATTTTAAGGTTTGGATGTATTGCCATAGATTTGTCTTAAAGATATTAGGGTGAGAAGTGTTTGATCATGGATGAATTCTGAAAGATAATCCACTTTGGAGTCATCATATCAGTTGATATTTTTCTTGTCCCTGGTTTTATGTCTTGCATAGGCTAATGGGGGTCTCTGACTTCCTGGAGTGTCTTATAGGGGCCTGTTTCTGCTGCCATCTTCCTCAAGGAGTTCTTGGAAACAGATGGGGTAGATAAAGCTATCACAACACATCTGGCCAACAGCAGTTTCTGTGTAGCCATCTACATGCTCTACTTAAATGCATATTTGTCCTTTAAGGGCAAGAATCTTGTGACAGGCAAATGTGAACTCCCCAGACTCGTGGATGGCTGTTGCTTTGACCACATGACAGGAAGAGAGCAGTGACCTGAGGTTTTGAGAAGCCATGTAAAAGATTGTGTGGCCTGTTGAATGTGGAAGAATAGTATTATTTCTCTAATCTAAACACTGCAGCCACCTGCATTTCTGTAGTCATTTGGGGACTTCATTGTACAGTCAGCACTGCAGCTCCCTGTGTATAAATTGGCATCAAATCTTGTTTTCCAGGTTCTCTGTGCTTCCAGCTGGTGGAACACTGTAGATATTTATAGTGGTGCATAGCATAAGATTCTTCCAGGTGTCTTGGGGAGAATGGAAATACCTTCAGGATTTTGTTCCTGAGAAGTTCCTAGCTTAAATTGTCTCATTTCTTTGGCAACAGCACTTGCATTTCTAGGTAAAAACGGTACCTAGTTAGGGAGTTACAGTACAATGGCTCCCTGGGGATTGTTGAGTACAGGATATTGAGAAGTGCTGTGCTGACAAAAACTCAATGTGTTGATGCAGTTGTCCTGGCAAAAATGACAGATTCTGCTTTAGTTGTTTTTATAAATAGTGCCTGGTGGTGCTGATAGTGTTACAGTAATTCATAGCAAGTTGGAGTGAAGCACCTGGGACTACCACCTGACCAACAACAAATTACTGGCCTCTGCATCATTAGTGCTTGTCTTCAAGTCTTGTTGTCCCATTGCCATGAATATTAATCACACCTTATCTCACTATGGGCTGCTCTTTAAATCATTTTTACACCATCTTATTGTGACTTTTTCACGTTCAAAGAGAACTGTTATACTGCTGTAAATACAAGGTCCAGTAAATTACATGCATTGTTCCTCTCTGCTCTGCAGTTTGACCTAAATTCTGGTAATAGCAAAGGCTCTTGTATAGACTGAGCATTTAGACTTGGAGTAGTTACAGTACTGACTCACTCTGATCCAGCTGTGTGGTGGTTGTGCAGGAAAAGGAATAATAGTGGAAGTCTGGTGATTTGCCAAATAACATTTGTAAAGTGCTTACAAGGAGAAAGGGAATGATGAGCACAGCTTTGTGGTTTTCAGGTCTGTAGAGAAATTCTTGACAATTCTTGTTTCAGACAACCACCTATACTCGCAGGGGACATGGGAATTGCACCAATCCTGGCTGTTCCTTCACTTATGTCACCAGGCATAAGCCACCAAAATGCCCAGCATGTGGGAACTTCCTGGGAGGGAAATGGATCCCAAAGGTAAATCTGTCTTTCCTGACTTTCAGACAAAAAATGCTGTTTGTGAATGTCTGTGATATTTCTAGAACTGTAGGTCTAGCACAGGAGGTCAGGTATGCACTTGTGTTCCAGTGCTTGTGCTGGAACAAGTACCATTGCAGTAGACACTTGGCCAAGGTGAAGCAGACCTGAAGTCACCACAGGTTGGCTAAAGATGCTGCTTGTGATGGCATTAGTTAGAACAGATGGGGCTGCTTTGGTAACTTATTGAGAGGATACACATTCTGGCTCTCTGCCTGCACAGTTCCTGTGACTGGAAGGCATTGCCTGTTCTTCCTGCCACAGCCCCTGGTAAGCTCAGGAATTTGGTTGAACCCTTCATTTTGTGGTAATTTATTACCTGCATTTGAAGTTCTTCTACAAATTTAGGTTTTCTGCGGTCTTTCCACATCATTTTTTCAACAGAAAGCACAAACAGTTCTCATCTGGGATAAGTGTATGATCTTTTGGGAGTTTGTAACAAAGCTGATCTAGTGGAAGCTGAAGTGCTGTTGGGTAATGTTGACTCACGGCCACGTGTCTGATCATTCATGGTGTTCTGATCTTTGTCTGGAGGGAAATTCCCAGGTTTTGGGACTTGTGAAGCTTGTTTGAGTGGAAAAGTCTCCACATGATATCTACTCTGCTTAAGTTATTGGCATCTCTACTAGCTGTGTACAGCAAAATCCACTTGCTCCTTAAACCTTGGCACTGCCATGGTAATTAGTCAGCTCTGAACAGATGTGTGTTCATTAAACTTGTCTGAAGCTAGGCTCCTCAGGCACAAGTTAAAGGATGTTCCCAGTGTGAAAATTAGCATTGACATTCAGTGGCTTTGTGTGGATTTGTTCTGAACCTCCTTTGTTTTGTGTCTGGACCATTAAATATTCAGGGGCAAGAGCTCTTCTAGGCAGCTCACAAGCTCTGCACTGTCTGAGCTGATGGTTGGGCTTCCTACATGGTAGGATGCAAATAGTGATGGTGGTGTCTTCACTTTTGTTCAGTAAAGCTGCTGAAGTAGAGATGGCTGACTGCAAAATGTGTTTCTGAATTCTGCCTGAATATGGCACCTTAAATCCTTTATTAACATCCTGTTAAACCCTACATTGATTAGAACTGGAAGGTTTTAGAGGGAGTTTTCTTCCTGTCTTTTAGTCTTACTCTGCTCTGCTGGGAGCACGCCTGCATAAACAGTTCCACTTGTTTTTATGGTGTCATGCCTTGGGAAAAACATGCAGCAGCAGTTTCTTTTTCACTGGTAATAGCATCAGTAGAACCAAAACTAAATTTATACATACCTTCCTATTCCTTAGAGAGGGATGAGACTTACGTTCTAAGATGTCTTTCTTAAAAAAACTAGATTATCCTTCTGAATATGGACTCTGTAGTGAGCTTAGAATGAATGTGTTTATCATGTTAGAAGCTGTGATATATTTTTTCATATTACCAATTCAGTGTTCATTGTACCTTTGTTGACACCAGTTGACTTCTGTAGCCTTAGTAGAAAGTAACATTTTTCTTAAATTTACTTAGGAAGTAAATTTTTACTTAGGAAGTAACATTTTTCTTAAAGTCAAAAAAACTTTGTAAGTGATATACTCTGTTTCCTGTCTCGCTCAAATGCTTGTTTTTGTGCATAGATGTATCCAAAAGATGTAAGTTCTCTGTATATCTCCCTTTGATTCCTCAGTAATGTGGAAGAACAGACAGCATAAGAAGCTCTGAAAGGGGAGCGTGGGAGGTGTGCCCTTGGTACAGAGGGTGGTGGGTGACTTTGTGATGTTGATGCTAATGGTGATATTTGAGGGAGTTGATGAAAGATTGATCCTTCAAAGTAAACAGTCTCTAAAAATAATACACACAGGGCCAAGAGGCCAGATAAAGTGTTAACAGGCCTTTGCTGTTGTAGGAGTTGCTGCCTGTCTGCTCTTATACAATTCAGTGCTGAAACACATAAGATTTTGTTGTTTTGATCAGACGTTAAATAGGCCATGGGAAACATGGTGTATGTGCAGGAAACTTACTTACCTATGTAAGCCTGAAGCTCTGAAATGTGACTACCTTTCTGTTTCCAGGAAAAGCAACCAAAAAGCAAACCTGAGCCGAATTCAGGCACCTCTCTTAAGACTCCAGCTGTTAAAAGAGGGCAGCAGTCAGTCCTCCCAGAGCCGCCAGCCGTCAGCGAGAGTTCCTCCAGATGTGCCTCGGAGAGCTCCGAAGCTGTCAGCCAGCTGCTCAGTGCTGTGCCTGTCGGGGGGCAGATGCCAGAGACAGAGTGGGAGGAAGTGGTCATCTCTGAGGCTCACGTTCTTCCAAACAATGTGCTTGCTGAAGACAGGCGGAATGCTGTTGGAGTGGTGCTGGGTCAGGAGAGCCAACAACAGCAAGGAGACACTGCTTCAGAGCAGGCAGAGAAAGAGAGCACAGGGCTGGGCATGACACAGTCACCTGAGGTGCTGAGTCCAAATTCCTCTGTGAAAAAGCCAGTGGGGTGAGTCAGTTTTCCATATGTTATGGGAGCATATGATATCTATTGTGTGCTGATGGGACTAGCCCAAGAAATTGAAGGCTGTTGGCAGTGCTTCCTGTAAGACCTGTTGTGTTCGTTGCCTGTTTTGTGCCAGTTCAGGATTGTTCCTTTGAGACTTTGCCCATCAGAGCTAATACTTTTCAAAGTGACAATTAAATTGTAGTCACAGGGCAGATGTGTCCTTAGCACCATCTCTCCTTCTACTGCAGTAGCTGTGATCAGTGTGCTAATAAAGCACACTTCAGGGCAAAGAAGGAGTGAAGCTGAGGGAGAATCGGTGGAACGTTTTTCCACTTGTTGCTCTTGTCTTTCAGAACTGATGCACCAGCTGCTACTCACAAAGGACAAGAAGTAAAGAGTAAACCAAGACCCAAGCCCTCCTTGCTGGCTGCAGCCAGACCCATGCGAGCCATTCTGCCCGCGCCAGCCAGCGTGGGGAGGGAGGCCAGCACGGAGAGCAGCAGGCAGACCTTCACCAATACTGGTAAAAGCAGCATCCTCTGGGGTGCTTTGGGACCTGTTGTCTTTCCTCATCACATTGAAATGCTCTCTGTCAAATAATAAGATAGGTCTAAAGGGAGGTAGTTTAGAACAAAAGACTTTCTCGCTCTACCTGAGCGCAGTAAATGGGTCATGAAACACCTGCTTGGGTCATTTCAAGTTCAGAGAAAAGGTCTCACATGACTGTGGTGGCATTTGCCAGAGACATCAGAATGAAACAGTATCTCTTTTCTCACATGTAACCTGCTGTATCCTTTTCCTCCTTCTAGACAAGCATTCCCCTGTGAGAACATCAGGCTTGAAGCCCAGTACACTGAAACAATTGGGCCAGTCAGTTCTGCAGCCACCAAGTGCCGAGGAGCGAAAGGTACCTGTGGGTTGCTCTTCCAATGCAAATTTTCCTTTTTTAATTTTGTTTCCCTCCCAGATGAAGGATATGACCTGAGTGGTGAGAAATAGAACATTAAAATGTGGCAGCCTTATGATGATGAGATCTGTGACTAACAGTTTTTATGATGTGGCTGTATGTGGGAACTGAGCTGAGAGATGCTGTTGGGCAATCCTTCTGCTGGCTGCTTTGGGAATCTCCCAGCTACTTCCAGAAGATGTTTTGGGGATCTGCTACTGCTTTGATAATCTGGCATGCAATAATGAGCACTGAGTTTTTCACCTGTAAAATATGACTGAGTATGCCAAGATGCTGGAATAAATCTGTTTGAATTGTAAATGCCTTAGCATGCAAAACAGTGTCTTGTAGTACTCTGATATTAAATGAACATTAATTGATTTCTTGGGGAGGGAATGCTAAAAGGTATTGATTACAGATTTTACAGGGTGGATGTATGTATTCAGTAGGAAGTGCCTCATGGGTGTTGTTTTTTCTGGTTTCAATCTCTAGCTCCACAGTGCTGTGACCAACAGGGCATCTCAGGTTAAAGTCGTGGAGGTCAAACCAGACATATTCCCTTCCTACAAGTACAGCTGCACTGTAACTTTGGTGAGAATTTTTCCAGTGGTGTGACTTACGCTGTGGGGAGTGTCCTTTCTGGGATGAGAATGTTCCATGACTTTAGTTTTACTGACTTGCAGAAATATATCTCACTTTTAACATGAGACAATCTGTAGTTTGGGTGTCATCTCTTTGTCTAATCCAGGGTGACTGTGCTCTGTTTTGCAGTCACAACTGAGACCTTCTTAAGAGCTGGGCCTAGCATAATCCCCATTCCCCTCACTGAGCTCAGCAGGGAGAATCAGGGGCTTGTGAATGTGTTTAATGTGTTGTGGTCTCTGGAACTGGCCCCAAAATGTTTAAGTGCCAGTTAAAGTATTCTGTGCAAAGTGACAGGGCTTGCTATACAAGGGGTTATAAAGTGGAGGAAAAACATTATGATGATATTTTCTAGACTTTTCCAGAATCTTGTTGGCATAGAATCATTTAGGGTGGCAAGGACCTGTAAGATCGAGTCCAACTGTTAAAAGTCAAAGTCAGCAAACATCTTTATTGTGTCATTCAGGATTTGGGATTGGCAACATCACGTGGCAGAGGGAAGTGCAAGAACCCCTCTTGTAGTTATGTGTATACAAACAGGCACAAGCCACGCATCTGTCCAAGCTGTGGATACAACCTTGCCAAAGACAGGACTGAGAAAACAGCAAAATCCCTGGTAAGGTTCATACAAGTTTGTTTTATCAAATGTTTGTTGCGGAGTGGGCAGGGAAGTACCTTAGTTTGCAAGTTCCCATGGGAACGTGGGTTTGGGGTTTTTTTTCCCCATTATCATAAGCTTTTCTAACACAATAATGTCCTACTCAAGATATTTGTGATGATGTTTGTACAGTCCAACTCCTGCAGAAGTGGTGCTTCAGGCTGAGTACTCCTGAGCACACTCAGTCCTACCACTGGGTGTCTCCTTGGCTTAAAAATCTACTGTTGTGTCAGTGCATGCTGGGGAAATTGCCCCTGAAGTCACACTTGTTGTGTCAGCTTTGTTGAACTTCAGAGTTCACCAAGAAACCCCCAAGTATGCTCTGCTTTGTGACCAATTTGGGACAAGTGCCAGTTAAGTTAGTACATCTTGTATTAGAGCTTCCTATTTTTAAGGGTTTGTAGTGCAACTTTACTTCCAGCCTGAATTTATTTCTGGATGTAGGGGTACTTTTCTGATGTAGAAAGATTTTTTTCAGTTGTCTGCTGTTCTACATGGATATAAATAATTATGGGTTTTGTTTGAGTTTTTTGCCTTTGCAGTTTCAAAGTTTAGCTCTTCTCCTACAGAATTGTGTTTTTTAAAAATCAATGAGAAAAGGAGCTGTCGTGTTCTTAGCTGAAATGCCCACTCAGTATATAGACAGAATTTTAGTCTGTGGTAATATGACTCTTCCAATTGCCTTTTTCTTTGTTTTGAAGATCATAACTATGTTTAGTGGTTTTGGTATTTTTTTCCTTTATAAACACAAACAAACTGAGATGGCCTGTGTGAAACTTGCACACAAGCAGCTGTGTAAGGAACAGCAGTGTGCTTAGCTCAGCTTGCATTCTGAGAGGCATGTGCCTTGTCTCTTCCTCATTTAGGTTTTTTTCTTGTTTTCTGGTTCTAGATGTGTTTAGCATTCCCATCACACAGTTCATTGTGGTCTCTGGGGTTTGGACTGATCATTTATATCATTGCTGGATTGATCAGAAAACCAGGTTGCGGTGTTGACAGAAGAGTTTCAGGGATTACACAGCTCAGCCTGTTTGTGTTCTCACTGTTCTCCTGGGGCTTGTGCAGTTTGGTTCTCTTGTGCTTGTGCATTTAGCCTTATGTGTGTTGGAGAAGGGAGTGTCTATGGACTGTAGTTGATCAATTGTAATTGATAAGTGTGTTTTGTCTATCACAGCCCCCAGTTCTTGTTTAACACTTGTCTGTTCCTGCTTCTGGAGAGGTGTGCAGGCTGCTGTGGCTGTCTGAGCACATTATACAGGAGAGTGTACCTGATAACCTATGGAGAATGGCAGTGACAATTCCAGGGTTATTCAAGTGTTTATATACCTGTTGGTGGTTATCCTCCACCTCTCAGTCCCCAATCCCTGCACTAACATGCCAGTTTAATGGCAAATCTGTGATGGTGTAGCAGTGTAGGAGTTCCTGAGAGGCTGGGCTGTAATAAAATATTTTTTGTGAAGTAACATGGGCTTGAAGCTCCTCTCTGGAGTCAGTGATTGCGCAGTGGAGTAGAAGTCAAGTCTACTGGGTACAAAGTTTACTGTGTTCCTGCTCCCTTTTATGACTTCTTTCAGCTTCCTGATATTTCACCCCCATGCTTGCCTAGTTGGGTATGCGAGTGTTTTACTTGCTTTCTAGGAGGTCAGTCCAGGTCAGTCTGATGTGTTGAACACCAGTGAGCCCCTAACCCCATCCCAGAAGGAAATCCAGCGCCAATCCACCCTGCAGCTGCTGCGCAAGGTGATGCAGATCCCTGAGAACGAGTCGGAGCTGGCTGAGATCTTCACACTCATCCACGAGCTCAACAGCTCACGGCTCATCCTGTCCAACGTGAGTGAGGAGACAGTCACCATAGAGCAGACCTCCTGGTCAAACTACTATGAGTCTCCGTCTGCACAGTGCCTGCTCTGTAACAGCCCCTTGTTCAAAGGGGGACACAAGTAAGATTCTGTTTGACTTGTGACTTTTTCAACCACCTGCTGATTTTCTGTGTTACAAGTGTGCCTGAAATAATATTTGCTTTAGCCCCTAGTAGGGAAGCTGGTGAAAGTGACACTGAATAAGCTACATGTGTGTGGAAAGGGTTTATCAGGATCAAAGAGTGTCTGCTAAGTCTAGATGTAACTTTTCTTTTTATTTACATTAGTCATCCCTTTGATTTCCATTCTGATGTTCTGAGGCTGACTGAGGAAAACCTGGGGATTTGCAGATGTGCATTATGTGATTTCCCTTTTTCTCTCTCTTCCTGACAAGGGGTAATGGATTCAAACTGAAGGAGGGGAAGTTTAAGTTAGAGATTAGAAAAAAGTTTTTCACTGTGAGGGTGATGAGACACTGGCACAGGTTGCCCAGGGAGGCTGTGGCTGCCCCAACCCTGGCAGTGTTCAATGCCAGGTTGGATGGAGCCTTGAACAACCTGGTCTGGTGGGAGGTGTCCTGCCCATGGCAGGGGGTTGGGACTAGATGATCTGTAAGGTCCATTCCAACCCCTAAAATTCTGTGATGATTCCATGATCTGAATATTTCCTGTGTGCATCTTTTTGCTTATGATGTTTTCAGTCTTTTCAGGACTTAGTGTGTACTTGAGTAAATCCTTTTTTTGGAACAAATAGCCAAATTGAAACCTGAAGGACTTTCAGAAACTCCCAGTACATAGGTTAAATTACCTTAACTAGATTTGTATAAAAGCCTGTAGGATATTGCCTCACTGAGTCTGCCAGACATCCTCCTGTTGCTTAATGCATGAGCTGAGGCATTTCCCACAGCAAAATTTCCAGTAGTTTAACATTGTGTTTCTTTGTTCCACAAAAAATACTATCTTGATGCAAGTGATGGATGTTTGCATTGGTCAGGCTAGAACTAATTGAGATTTTTCCAGCAGAGGTATTTTTTATGCTCAATTTTTTTCAGAACAGAGCTGTGTTGCACTCTGTCCCTCACCTCGTGTCTTACCAACCTGTGCAGGGTAAATCCTTGTGCTGGGCTGCTCTGCAGGGCTCTGTGTGTGGGACTCTGACGTGTGCCTGTGCAGGCTCTAATTGAAGCCCTGCCAGTGGGAGGGAGCTGGCTTTGACTTTGATTCCTATTTTCTCAGGTGGACAGCTGTATTTCTGCCACTGGCATTCTCCTGTCTGAACTTCCCCTCAGCAGCTGCACTGTAGAGGAGCAGACCTCTCTGAATCCTGTGTGCAGGGACAGGCTGATGGGTGGAATGTGGTACCGTTCACCATTTGTTGTCCCACAGCAATGGGGCTGACACTTCTCCCAGGCCAGCTGGGGCTGTGGATTTTCTCCACCTCACAGATCCTATGTGCACAGCATATGGAGCTGGAAGGGATGCTGTAGTGCTGTTAAAAGAATGTGAGCAGTGTCCTGACTCTGCCAGGGGAGTCTGTTTTAAAATGTAATTTTTTTTTCTCTGTGAAATTATGTGAACTGGCTTAGACTGACATACTAATGAACTCATCTCAGCTGGAATGTTTTAAGTTACTCCAGGGCTGGTCTGAAAAACCTGTTGACTTGACTCAGAGTGGTCTTTTGTTGTCTGTTCCAGTTCCCTTGCTGGTCCCCAGGAGTGCTGGCTGCTGACAGCTAATCGATTGCAGGTGGTTACAGCTCAGGTCAAAGTGTGCTTAAACCTGCAGTGCCTGGCCCTCCATAGCTTCACTGATATTTACACAGGTAGTTTGATATGCTCATATCTTTCCTACATCTTAACTACAGTCAGAAGCCTGGGGACTGTATCAGGGCATTGTCCAGGCACAGAAGAGCTTGTTCCCTTCCCCAATGTACTAAACATTTATTATTTTTTACTTGCTTCTGCTTCTTCTACAAGTAAATGTGTATTTCTGAGGAAAAACACATGAATGCTCTGATGAGGAAGACCATGCCTTTATTCACTGGTGTAGGTCTCCTCTGTGTGAATACTGAATGTTGAGTTCTTCAAGGCAATCCCTGAGATCAAAGTTAGAGACATATTTGGAGAGTTCTGTTTCTCAGCATTGACTAGTGAGGAGATGGATTGGCTCTTGCTCCTTGTAGCTTTTTTAATTCAAAGGCAAGTCTATGAAAGGAGCTAATCTTTCAGCAGAGAACTCTGCACTTCCTAAGTGCAGAAACACTATCTGTTTCCATTATCCTCTGAACCATACTTGTAGGAGTGTTTAAGTATCAGTAAGGAGCATATTTCTTTGTGAAGAAGATCAGGAACCCCACAGGCAATAACTGTCTGGTTTTAACTGCAGGCCTTTTCAATGTGGGTAACAAGTTGCTAGTGAGCTTGGATCTTCTGTTTGCAATCCGAAACCACATTAAACTTGGAGAGGATCCCAGAGTGGCTGTTGGCAATATTCTCAACTCTGTTCAGGAGCAAACTGGTGGGTTTTCCTTCTTGTTTTTTTACCATTGCACACCAAACTGTGACCTGCTGCTGATTGTCAGGTTATAAAAAGGCAAACCTCACCTGTTCTAGTGTGGTATGTTTCTGTTAAATCACTTTCTAAAGAAAACCATACAGTGGTTGCACTGATTACAGTGATCAGCTACTTGTAACAGTTCTCTGGGGGACAGGTTTGGTTTTATGCTGCATAGGAGAGTTCTGCTACCTCTCCACTGACTTTAAGAAGTGAAAGCTTTAACAGTGGCATACTCTCTTTTCAGATAAAAGCCTGAGCCCTGATGAGCAGGTTCAGCTCCAGGAACTGCTGTGCAATGGCTACTGGGCCTTTGAATGCCTAACAGTCCGGGATTACAATGACATGATCTGTGGAATCTGTGGCATAACCCCCAAGGTGGAAATAGCCCAGAGGAATGTGGAAAATGTCCTGGCACTGAAAAATATAGAGGTAGGCTTTTCACACGCTTCACATCCTGTTTGTGTTCAAAGCAGATCATGATGACTTTTGCTGACTCTGGTCTTCGTGATGCAGGATAAGTCCACAAGACCTTTGCGTGTGGTTTTCTGCTGATGCCTGACAAGAGGATGTGGCTGGATGTGCTTCCTCTTAGAGGTGTTAATGTGTAGTTTGGGCAAAACAAGCTCCTCTGTCCCTGGACCACAGCTTTTGTCCAGCAGCCTGGGACAGTAGGGACCTTGGGTGAAAGCTGTTGAACTTGGCCTTCTTCCTTTGACACAAAGGTGTTCTTTTTTTTTCCTCCAACAAGTTTCCTTGGGGTGTTGTCTTCTCTAATGGGGAAAAAATGCTCTACTAGTAGTGTGCAGCATGTCTGGCTTTTAGGTCTAATGGTGTTTACTCTTACTCACAAAAAGTGATTGTGGGGAACTTTAGGAGACTGAAATAATTTTGTTGCATTTGGGCTGAGCACTCTCCTGGGTAGTCCTCGTGCCTTGAGTGAGACTGACACAAAACTGTCCAGTGAATTGTGGTTATCTGTACTTGACCACTGTGTTTCTTGCTCTTTCTAGTTTACTTGGCCAGAATACTTGCCATCAAGTGAAGTGAATGTAGAAGACTTCTGGTCCACAATGGAGACAGAGGTGATTGAACAGGTGGCTTTCCCTTCTAGCATCCCCATCACAAAGTTTGACGCCTCTATTGTTGCTCCTTTCTTCCCTCCACTGATGAGAGGAGCAATGGTGATCAACACTGAGAAGGACAAGAGCCTGGATGCACAGCCAGTGCCAGGTAATGACTCACTTTGTGCTTATTAAGGGAATACTTGACACCTTGATGTCTTCAGTGTTTTGGTGATGTTTACGGTTGAGAACGTTGCGTTAGACTCATGCTTGGACTGTGAAAGCAGGCAGTGCTTGGTATCTCCGTTATAGTCTCAATAAAGGGTGAATAACCTTTTACAGAACTTGAGAAAAGACTAGGAGAGGGATGTGCTAGTCCTGATGTTGTTAACATGGAATATATCCAGGACATTCACTGCATGTAACAAGAAACCATGAGAGGAATAAGCTCGGATGTATGAGAGCTTAAGAGTTCCCTGAAGAGTTTGGGTATTAGGTATAAGAAGGAAAACTGGCTTTGCAAGCTTAACAAGTGTATGAGTTGGCTTTGCAGACCGAGCTGCAGCTGTTCTAGAGAGCTGAGCTGCAGAAGGGGCTACGTGGGCTTTCCTGGAAGTGGAGCTTCAGAGAAAGAACCAGGGAGGAGATGTGAAGGATAAGCCTGAAGCTGCTCAGTCCAAAGGCTGCAGTCACATTTCTCTGTGCTCTTCTTTCACTTGTTTATCCTTATGTCAGTTTTTTAAAGGTTACAAATGACAGGATAGACAAGTGCTTATGGAGTCTGCAGCTCTGCTGGGCTCAGTCTGGTGACCTCACCAGCAAAGGGCTGGAGACAAGCGTGGGCTGTGACGTGCTTTGGAAGTAGGACTGTTCACAGCTTTCTTTTGCTGGCAGTGGGTTGTGCAGTCTCTGCTTATGTAGTCTTCAGAATAAATTATTTTGGTGACTTCCCTTCATGAGAATGAGTGCTGAGACTTGTTTCCTGTCTTTGCAGGTAATGGGAGTGCCTTGGTGAGACTCCTTCAGGAAGAAATCTTCAAGCTTGAGCTGATAAACTCTTATAGTGAGGAAGAGCTTCAGACTTTTCTGACACAGTGTGGCATCCCCTGGGAGGCTTCAAATACAAAGGTAACTGCTTGTTTGCCCACATACAAGCCTGCAGGAGTGGAGCTATTCTTCACTGTCTTTCCCTTATCCACTCTTGCCAACCTAGATAATTAACTTCTCATCTGACTGCAGTAAGGGCAGAGGTGGGTGCTGGCAGATTATAGGGTAATTTACACGTGGTGAGGTAAATTGAACCTTTGTGGGCTAGAAGAAAGGAAGCCTGTAATTACCTTGTCACTGGCTCAGTGTTGTGTAATTGCTTGTCATCCTCATGGTGCTGAGTGTGGGATTAGGAAATTATTGGATGAAGTGCAAATTAGGATTTGGGAGACCTTGCCTGCAGCCTTCTCCTTCTCTGGAGGAATCTGTTAATTTTAGTCACATACAGACTTTCTCTGGGGCCTGTCTTTTCTAGGACCAGCTCTGCTACTCCCTGCTGGCTCTCTATGAGTTTGTACAGAATGGGACAAGCATCACACCACCCTCTGCTCATCACACGGGAGGGAAAATCTACAAAGTGTGTCCACATCAGGTGAGGAAGGCTGGAGTCAGCAAGGTTTTGCTTACCTTGCTGTTCACTATTTGACTTACCAGTGTGGAACTCCCTCATTGAATAGAAACAGTGGAATGGGCTTCTCTGAGCCTTTGGAATGAAACACACTGCCTCAGGGCTGGAGTGTGAGCAGTTCTGCAGGAGACCTCACAGTCAACTAGAGATCTGAAGCCTGGTCTTTAACATTGCAACGGAGGTGGAGTTTATACCATGTCTTCCTGAACAAGATAAATTGAATGTGTATGATGAAGAAACAGAATACCTTTAGGGAAAGTAACTGTCTTGTTACTGTATAGTCTGGAATACCTGAAGGGAAGCTTTATTTTTTTTAAGACTAGATTTTTTCCATATGTTTTTGGTTTTATTGTGCTGATGGTGTTAATCCTTTTCTTTCCAGGTTGTGTGTGGCTCAAAGTACATAGTAAGAGGAGAATGTGCTCGGGATCATGTGGACTTGTTGGTTTCCTCACGTCACTGGCCTCCAGTGTACGTTGTGGATACAGCCTCTTCAGTGGCACTGTGTGCAGACCTCTGCTGTCCTGGCCTGACTTCCCAGATGTGGGGGAAGAACCAGGGCTGCTTCTCTGACCCCATGGATCCTCCAACGGTTAGTTATGTCTGCTTTTGCTCTCTGCTACACCAGTCCAATATGGAAAGGTTTTGAGTGAGATTTTAAGTTTAAAACAAAAAGTATATGTAACCTGCATTGTGCCTCAATATAACTTCATAGACCACAGGATGGTTTGGGTTGGAAGGGGCTTTAAAGATCATCTAGTTCCAACCTTCCTGCCATGGCAGGGACACCTTCCACTAGACTGGGTTGCTCAGAGCCCCATCCAGCCTGGCCTTGAACACTTCCAGGGATGAATTTGATCTGATAAGTGTCTCCTGACTTCAGCTTTGCCAGTGAATTGCTTCTGAGTGTAGTGGACTGTGTTACATGTTGCCTGGGGCATTGGGTCAGGTTCATGGTCCTTAACAGGAAGAGCTGTGCTGGGATTACGTTGTAACAGTTCAAATCATGAACTTGAGAGCGTGTCACATATTTTGACGCAGCAGCTCACTTCTCTTAAACTACTGCTTTTACTTGAGAGATGGGAGAGGAGGGTTGGTAGTGCCTTGGGATTATCTCTGAGGGGATACGAGTGAGGAGGGAGTGTACAGACCACCTTTGTGGCATTTAGGGGAAGCCTTGATTGTTTAGCTCTCCGTCTGTGCTGGGTCATAGCGCTGGTTAGAGCTCAGCCAAACATGAGTTTTATTGTCTTAGCTGTGGGGAAGTGGCTGCTTCTACCTGCTGCATCTCTCTCCCCCACAGTATGTGTCCTGCCCTGAACTGCTAGACCAGCAGTACAGCGTAGACATGACGGTGGCTGAGCACTCTGTTCAGCACCCAATCACCAAATCCTCCGCACGCCGGATTGTCCACACGGGTTCAGAGCAGCACAGCCCCCAAGATCCAACAGCTCAGCATCACTGCATCTCCCTGTGCCGAGAGCTGGAGCCTTACAGCGCTGTCATCGCTGCCATCAGCGACAGCAAAACGAGCAACATCCGCCAAAGGCCCATCACCTTTGAGAACCCCACACACTATTACCTCTACAACCGCCTCATGGACTTCCTCACCAGCAGGGAGATCGTGAACCGGCAGATCCAGGAGATCGTGCAGAGCTGCCAGCCGGGGGAGGTGGTGATCCGCGATGCTCTCTACCGGCTCGGAGTGGCCCAGATTAAAACAGAAACAGAAGAGGATGAAGAGGGGAAGCAGGAGGATGACAGAGGTTGCTGAGTAACAAAACAGCCTGTTGGTTTCTCTCTGGTCGTGTGGATGGGGCGGCTGAGCCAGCTTCTGCTGCTGTCTGGCTGGAGAGTTTATTTTTACAGGTTGGAGAAGTGATGATGCCAGTGGCTTTGACTGCTGTTACTGACCAAAGAGCTGTGTGCTTCCATAGTGTTATGATAGCTGCTGCGAGCATGGGTCTGTCACCTGCCTTGCTGAAGGCTGCAGCTGCCTCCGAGGTGTGTGATGGACCTGCTGTTCAGGGGTGTGGGATGTTGCCCTTCCTGCAGCTGGAGAAGGGAAAGGTGTTGCTGGTAGCTGGGAGTGTGCCTGGTCAAGCTCACAGGTTTTTTAGTTCTGAATCTTGCTTGCTGACTTCTTTGTGCATATTGGTGGCAGGGCTGGGGCTGTGGGAGCAGGTATGAAAGGCTGATGGCTACAAAGACTTCCCCCCCCAGACATTCTGAATAGGTTAATTTAGAACACAGACTCCTGCTGGAAAATCTTGTGGTGCTCTTATATGCATTGGCTCAAGGAGTCTAGAGTTGAGGAGGAAGAGCTATGGTCCTGGGTCCAGGATTGCAGGTGCTTTGTCTACAGAAAGTTTCTAGAATTGTTTGGCCCTTCATGAGCTCTAATAATTTATAAGCTGAAACAGTGAGTGAAGTGTGTTCTGTATGGTAAGGTAAGAACTGATCAGGTGAGCCCCCAGGGAACTGAGCTGTTTGGAGGATGGTGTGCACACTGCTCAAAAGGGTGGCTGTGGAAAAGGGAAGGACTCTCAGGATTCCTGTGTTGTCCTCCTGGATGCTTTTTCTTTTTTTAGGAGTTTTATTCTATTTAAGGACTTGCGTTTCTGTGGTTCTGCCCTTAGAACAGAATCACAGAGACTGTGGGATCAAGGAGTAACATTGAATGCAGTGTCACCAGAGTGAGCAGGGTTCCATATCCCACCTGGGAGAGCTGCATCTGTGTGTGCAATCTCAGCACTGCCCTGCCTGTGTCCTCACAGTGTTCTGGGGGTTAGAGGAGTTTCCTGCTGCCCAGACTGCTTTGTCAGCTCCTGGAGAGAGTCAGGCTGAAATCTCTGTCCTTGCAGCACACCTGCAGAACACTTCTGGCTGCAGCTGCCAAGCTGTGCATGTCATCTGCTGCAGCTGCTTAGGCTGGTGGTGGAGGTGGGTGAGTGTTTGCTGTGACCCACAGAGGAGAGAAGCAGCATGCCAGACTGCTAAGTTACCATCTTGGGGGTTTATTTTGTCTGAGTGAGCAGTGGGGAAGATTCCAAGGCTTGTGGTGTGGTTGAAAACTCCCTTCTGTGAAGGGGAACCTATTGAGCACCGTACTGTTAAAGTAAATGTAATAAGTCTGAGCAAATGCAGTAATCATGGCTTGGGGTTTTTCTGTTAAGAACATTAACTTATTATAAGAGACATTAGTGACTTTTTTCAGTCAGCGATAAAGTTTAATAAATTATCTCCAATTTTGGGGGTGAAACTGTGGCCAAGTGACTTGGTTTTTTTTTGAGTATAAGACTTGGAGCATTGCAGTGAGAAAGGCACAAACACTGTTGAGTCTGTTCAGCATTTACCCTGCCCTCAGCATTGCAGGTTCCCACAGAGACTGCTGCCATGTGTCACACAGCAACCATTGTCAGCTGTCCCATCACCACAATTGAAATTACACCCCATTATACCCATGCACAGGGACTACTTCATTTTTCCCAACTCCAGATAGACCAGTCAGAGCAAAGTGCTTTAAAACCTTGCTTTTAATAAGTTTTTGCATTACACAAGAATGAGTAGTTTTGAGAACTGGTAACGAGGAGCTGGAGCAGAGTTCCAGGGTTGAGAGGATGGGCCAGTGCCTCTGTTCTCAGAGCAGAATGGCTCAGTCCTTACAGCCCTGGAATAGCCTCTTTGTGTTAAACCTCTTACTTTATGTTTTATAATGCTGACAGATAGAGTTACATTAACTTTTCATTTAGTAAGGAGGAATGAATCATTGGTGTTAGCATAAACCCAGGTTTAATGTAATCAATCAGAAGTGTCCCACAATGTAGTTGCTCACAGTGTGACAAAGGTCACTTTTGCCACACTGCAATGCAGTCCTGGTGGTTTTTGCCTGAGCCCTGTCAGTGCTTGTACCTGGATACTTTACCCACTGAGTCAGGTGAAGCTAAGAAGGTTCTTTAGCTACTTCTGGCAGCTACAAAGGACCAGGTGGCTGGGACAGTAGTAACCCTGAGCCAAGAGCTAGCTGAGAAATAAGTTGAAGGGCATTAGACCCTAGCTTATGAAAAAAAATAAATCACCTCAGCTGTACTATTAAGAATACATTTAGGAAATTACATACAACAGCATGTCTGTAATCATGACAAAGGCAGTGATTGCTACATGTTCAGTAACTCAGAAGTTTTGTAGGATGTGTGTTATGTTGTTCATTCCCAGACTTGTTTAAGCTGCCATTCTTTCCTGGATTGGGATTGTGTTCAGTGCTCACATGAAGAGCATTGTTTTTTGCTGTATTTTACCTGAGAAGTAACTGCCCCTCTGTCCCATTACTGGGGCACGAGTTCACATAACCCTGGGGTTGGCTCCATGACTCACTTCACCCAAACACTCCTGCAAAAGCAGCAACTGCAGAGAGGTGAATTGCATGAGGAAATGTAGGGGTTAATGCATATTTAATGCTATGTAGAAGCCTTACCTATATCTAAACACTCACTCTGCAACATCCAGGGTCAGACTGACAAAGGGAAGAGAGCAGGATCACCAAGAAAGGGGATGCTTCTGGTGTGTGGAGCAGTTCCAGTGTTAGGACCTAGTTCAAGATGTGCTTATAGAACAGAAGGGTTCAGTGATGTGAGTGACACTTGGAAATGTCTTACTTGGCTGTGACTATTATTATTTAAAAACTGTAAACCCCAAACTTCCACAGCCTTTGTGGGAGGCAGGTGAGTTGTTCTTTACCTTGTAGAGATGGAGCCTGTTACCATCCTAACAGCTCTATGCTATGCATGAGATAAGACCTTAGGGACCCCATGGTGAGTCGTGGTTTTGAGTCACTCCTTCGCTCTTCTTTCAGTGTGGGAGTTGGTAACACTCACACTTTAGAAAGCACAGAGAGGGCCAAAGCAGAAGGCATCAGTGTCCTAGGGCAGAGCAGAACCATGAGCTCTGTGGAACCAGGACAAGGATCAACCCCGGGGTGATGGTCCCAGCTAACAGAACTGGTAGTTGTTGCTCTTGAGGAGGGGCTGGCCACTCTCCTCTTGCTCACAAGACTCCTCACAGCAGCCGGAGGGATCGCAGCCACTGTCTTTCTTCCTCGGCAGTAGAGGGGAGGTTGGTGTAGTCCTTGAAAGAAAAGGAAAAACAACACCCCATGTGTGTTTTGGTCCCTTTGATGGCATTTGGCACCTGTTTCTGGGTGGGTCACCAGCTAGGGATGCTAACTCCACACTGTACTACTCTGCTGTGCCCACAGAGCATGATGAGCTGGCAGGGCAGGCATGTGGTTGTGCAATTGTGGACAGCTAGTCCCGAGGGAGTGCACAGCAAATTCAGGGGAATGGGGCAGGGTGCTGCACTAGTAGTGTATCACTGCCCAGAGAGGGTTCGGCCAAGCAGCTGTGTTTCTTTGCCCAGCCCTCTTTGGTCATGGTGGAAAGTGACTTAACCCTTCAGCATGGGGAAATCTGGATGCCTCTCTGCACTTCCCACCAACACTGCACTGCTCCCATCAGCTAACAGCAAGGGACATCACAGAAAAGTTGTCCGGGAGCTGTGTTCGTGGAGGGGGAAAGCACATCTCCCCCCTTCTCCTTTCCAAAGGTCCTCACCTGCTCCTTATGCACCTCCAGTTCTTTCTGGATGAAGCAGCCAATCTGGTCAAAGGTAGGTCTCTGTGTGGGCTCCAGACTCCAGCACGCCTGCATGATGCTGTACCTGCAGGGCCACACCGGGACAGGGTGGTTGCATGGTGCTGCTGAAAGCTCTGCACCCCCAGGCTCTTCCCTGCAGCACTATGTCAGGGGCACAGTACTGAGTACCTGTCTTCCTCTATAAAACCCATGGTCGGTGCATGTGCTCCAGGGAAAGGTGAGCACTGAAGTGAATAGAGGAAACTAAACTATCAACAAGGAGTTTTATGCTTCTGAGACTTTTCTTTAGGCTTACACTAATTACCCTCTTGTAACCCACTCAAGCTTGTCTTCTCATTGTTGCAGAGTCAAAAGTAGCTAACTAGAAAAAGCAAAAACCCACCAAGTTCAGGAATGTAGACATATAATGTAAGCACACTCATTTTTCAGTCCATAAATAGGAGATGGGGGATAGAGCAGCACAACTGACTGTTCTAAGTCTTGCTTTCCTACAGGATCAAGCGTGGTAGGATCCAACCTGAACCTGGCAGACAGACCTGGGAGCAGCAGGCAGACCTGTGTCCAGGGTCCCTGTGCAATCTCCCTGCCTGTCCCATGAAGCAGCTCCAGCCACCCTGTCACTGCTGTGTGCATCTCAGTGCATCCACTCACATTTCCAAGGGAGCGAAGTCAGGCCTGGCCATCTGGTATCCTTGCTTCACCATGCTGTAGAACTTGCTGTTCACCACCATGCCAGGATATGGGCTTTTCCCTGTGACAGTAACAGGAGCAGAGGTGTCTCTCAGACTAGAGCCTTTAACACTCCAGCCTTGAGGGGTGGGAAGAGGCAGCCTGGAGCATTGTCTGAGCTGGTGCTGCTCAGGAAGTTCTGAATTAGGACACGTTGTCTGGAACCCATTTTAATGGCCCCTCTGGAAGCATAACACATTGTTTTATAGTCCTGATAAACCTAGATTTTTGTCAACCTTCCTCCTTTCTTGGAAATTTTTCTGCAGAGATGTTAGAGCAGCACTGAGCCATGGAAAACAAAAAGGGTTGCAAGCTCACTGCTTTCTTACCAAGAGAGAAGATCTCCCAGAGCAGGATGCCATAAGACCACACATCACTCTGCACTGTGTAAATG